CGTATATTCTCCAATATTTCAACATGGCCACGTGAATTTATAGGGAAAGATGGGCTTGATTCTTTGTGGTCAAAAGCTGCCATCTTGCTCCACTGAAATCAACATCAAAGCTCCCAATGACTCTAATAGTTCAGGATCAGGCACTTAGGGTGGGATCTGCAAAAGCACTTAGGCACCTAACTCCCAGTTCTAGGTGCCGCTGCAATCCACAAAACACCTAACCTGTAGGCAGCGGCGCCAACTTTCTAATCTGACAGGGGATGCTCAACCTTCTGGCTCCGCCCCCTTCTCCCAAGCCCCCACTCCACCCGCCTCTTCCCGCCTCCATTCCCCCTAGTGTGCCCTACCCTCGCCCCCTCCCCCCCAGCACCTCCTGCACGTGGTGTAACAGCTGATCTGCAGCAGGCAGGAGGCGCTGGGAGGGAGGTGGAGGTGCTGATTAGTGGGGTGACTGGGGGGCGGGAGGTGCTGGTGGGTAGGCGGGAGCTGGCTGCCAGTGGGTGCTCAGCACCCACCATTTTTTCCCTGTGGGTGAGCACCCATGGAGTCGGCACCTATGCCTGCTGACACCTAAAGTTGCTTGGCGTAAATTGGAGTAAACAGTTCCTTAGGTGCCTATGTTTCTGCCTCTGAGCGTGCAGTGCTGCCTCAATCTAGACACTGAAGCACCTACTCCCAAGCCCCAGAGTGATTCACCAACCTGGGGAAACATGGGCGTTAGGCCACCCAGGTCATATCCAGGGCCTGATCCCATAGGCGCGCTCAGAGATACTTCCCTGTCTCTACTGGAAATACCTCATCTGATACATCCTAAGATGACATTTGTCTCTTTCATGGCCACATCTTAATGTTAATCACCATAAGAACTAGGTACAAAACTTAGGCCCCTGTATGCAGTAAAGCAGCTTTGAGTGCTGTAACTCCCGAGGTGTACACACGGCCAAGCCACTTGGTGTGCAGACACTGCGCAGATGCAGCGCTCTAAGAAAACCACCCCGACGAGAGGCACAGAGCTATTTGCGCTGGGCCTACTGCGCTGTGGTGCCAGCCTAGGCACCCTGGTGATTACAGCGCTGTGCTTGGCCTCCAGGAGGTGTCCCACAATGCCTGTTCTCGCCCCTCTGGCCACTGGATTGAACTCTACTGCCCTGCCCTCAGGTGACCAACCATCAGCCCCATACATTCCTTTGCAAATTTGAAAGTCCCCTTCCTGTTTGTTCAGTGATGCATGCAGCGGTCTCAGCGCATCTTTCCAGGTGGCCAGGCCTGCTCCACACACCAGGCGATCCCCCGCTTGGAGCAATGCCGAGCTGCTGGACCTCATTGGCATTTGGGAAGAGGAGGCAGTGCAGTCACAGCTGCACTCCAGCCATTGGAATTATGATACCTATGGACAGATTTCTAGATGCATGAAAGAAAAGGGCCATGACCGGGACACATTGCAGTGCAGGGTCAAAGTGAAGGAGCTGCGGAACGCCTACCACAAAGTGCAGGAGGCAAACCGCCGCTTCGGTGCTGCGCCCACAAGCTGCCGGTTCTACAAAGAGCTGGATGCAATCCTCGGTGGTGACCCCACCTCCACTGCGAAGGCCCCTGTAGATATTTCGTTGGCTTGCGTGCCAGTCGAGAGTGGACCGAGTCAGGAGGAGGCAATCTTGGATGAAGAGGGGGAGGGGGACCCAGAGGCAGAGGATGACTCAGAGGCCAGAGATGCATGCAGTCAGGAGCTCTTTTCTACCCCGGAGGAGCTAGCCAGTCATAGCAGTTGGATCTTGGCAAAGCGCAAACAGGAGAGGAGGCCCCTGGTAAGTGGATCTGATTTGGGGAATTGCTGAAGCGAGTTGTTGGGGGCAGGAGGGTGGCAGAAAGCAGGCTTGTCTCCCACCTCATGCCTAGTTTGAGCAGCAGAACAGGCTGTTGATACACTTCCTCACTTCACGGGAATCTCCCTCAGAGATCTCCAGGAAACTCTCGTGGAGATACTGGGCAATCCACTGCTGCAGGTTCTTCGGCAGAGCTGCTTCATTTCTTGCCCCATTAACGATAACTTTCCCGCGCCACTGCGTCGTCATGGAAGATCCATGAGAAAAAAATATATAGACCAGTCAAAATCCCTTTGTCATACTGGATGGTCACAAATATTTGCAAATGAACTGGCTACTACTAATAAACTTTTAAGGCACTTTGAAACCAGAGTGATGAGTGTGAGATAGACAGGAGTACTACCAGCCACACATGTTCAAAATTAATGAATCAACCCCTCAAAAGTCATGACACTGAATTAAGAACCATGATATTTTTTTAAATAATACCTCTGGAGGGCTTTGGGTAGATTTTTTGTCTTCAGGTTGTCAAGCCAGGTAGGGGGGTCACATTTTCAAGCCTATCTCCACAACCACAAGGGCCAAACAGTTTTTTTAAAATGAAAGCTAAGATTCTGATGTATTCAAATGATTCCAGGAACTCGGGTTTTTAGAAAAACATCTGGTATCATAAGCTGCACCATAAATCACAAGAGTTGGCAACAGAGATTAGATAGACAGACAAAGACAGATAGATTTCAGATGAGTAGTAATGAATAACTAACAGAATTGAACCAACGACCTGCAAGCGAAAGGTTCTGTGACAGACTGATAATTTCCTGTAACATCATGGACAAACCTTACTGAATTGAGTTTAATGTCTTTGGAATCCATTGTATTAAAAATGCAGCAGTCTATGTGCTACAGAGGGACTGTATGTATTTCCACGGGAAGGGCATATAGGAGAACAACAGGAGATGATTAGGCAAATTCATTCAGCTAGTAACAGCTCCAGAGAGTCACTGTGCGGAGCCCTTGATGGTACATCTTGGGGGGCAGGGACACAGGCCAGGGGCTGCTCTTGGGCACCCCAGTCCCCCACCCAGGTCAAGTGGATGACCATTGGCTCTCCACAGCTGCTTGGGCTCCCTTGGTGGCTCTTACCAGCCAAGGATAGTTGTCCCTAAACTGTGGGGCACACCCCCCATAGGGGGGCACGGAGGAACCTTCAGGGGGGTGTGGTGGGGACTGAAAAGGGTGCACGACCCAGCCCTGCTCTGTGCCCAGCCTTGCTCTGGCCCTAACCCAGCCTTGCCCCCAGCTATGGCTCTGCTCCTGGCCATGCCCCAACAGCACCTCCGGCTCCACTCCCAGCCCCCAACCACAACCCCGGCCCCTGCTCCTGGGTGGGGAGGCGCAGACCAGGTAAGGGAGGCACAACCGAAAACATTTGGGGACACCTGATCTAGGATAACCATAAGTCCAGTTTTGGCCCTGGATGTCCCAATTTTTTTTTGGCAAAACCAGGCATTTTTCCCGTTTGCTCTTGCCAACTGATCACCACAAATGCCCAGTTTTGCCAGAAAGGGGATGGGGGGAGAGGTGAGCAGCAGGGTTGGAGCGGGGCAGGGGCGAGAGGTGGATTCAAACCAGCCCCATGTGCGGGAGGAAGGGGCTTAGGCAAGTGAATCAGGTTGGTTCCGTGGAGGGGCAGGAAGGGTGGAAGGGAGAGGGGGCTCGGGCCAGCTCCATGTGAGGGGCCAGTGGGGAAGGGAGAAGGGGTACAGACCAGCTCTACATGCGGGGTTCGGGGGGGGGAAGGGAAAGGGGGCTCAGCCAAGTCCGTGCAGGGCTTGGGCAAGTGGCTTGGCCAGTTCCCCGTAAGGCAGGGCAGGGGGAATATACTCATTCTACACAGGCTTGTCTCCTTGTCTACCCAGGGGCGGGTTCTCAAGGGGAAGAGGAAGAGCAAGGCTGAGGAGCAGGTGGTCCAAATTGGCTGAGGTCTCTGGGCACAGGCCCCGGGGGGTAATCGACCACTGGGCCTGTTGCCAGTACTCAGTGCCAGAGGCGAACAACAGTAAGGTTCATTGCCCGGTGTGCATCACCCAATAATCACAACAGGGTGGAGAAGCAGGAAAGTTTATTTGCAGCTGCAAACACGGTACAGGAAGAATAGAATCTCAAATCCTGCACACAGCTAGTTCCCTTGTTCTCTGTACCATCTGTTAAACCATACATAAAGCTGCTTTATTCAGCATTGTTCTTCCATATCTGCCCTGTTTGGCCTTGTTTAGTTTCAGGCAGTCTGACTCTGCAACATATTGTTGCAGATCCTCAGCATAACTGCTGTGAGTGCCTCCAGGCGGGGGGGCGGCAAGGACACTTTGGCCTAGTACGCATAACTGCGGCGAGTGCCTCCAGTCGGGGGGGGGGGGGGGGGATAGGGGCGGCAAGGACACTTGGGCCTAGTACGCATAACTGCGGCGAGTGCCTCTAGGCGGGGTGGAAGGGGGGCAAGGACACTTGGGCCTAGTGCGAGGGGGCTTCATCAACACTCGTGGTCTTCCATCCCCTCGAGTTACGTAGTGGCCACGCCCCAGTGTCCCCAACAGGCCTGAAGCTTGCAGTTTGGAGGGGACAATGCTGCTCCCTCCCATGTTAATAAGTGGGGGGCATGGCCCCTCTGGCGCCAGCGTCCCTCCCAGTTCTACAAAGTCTCTGGCACCCTTAATCACAGCTGAACCCCTTAAAACACACCCTGCAAAGCGACTCTTTTCATAAGATCTCTCACTAGCATTTGTTGAGTTCCAACCATCTCCAGCACTTTTCCACTGGTTACACGTCTATCCAGAGCCTCCCAGGACAGCGACCTCCAAAAAGGGATGATAGCGGGAAAACCTGGGTGAGGGTGACGATTGGGAGCGACCGAGGGGGCCAGCTGAAGCCCTGGTGACAACCAGGGAGGCGCTAACAATCACAGGGTGGGCTACAGCCCTGCGCCTGTATGGAGCGCATTAGAGCCACACGGCCCTGCCCAAGAGCCATCTTGGGCGTGCTCTGACAAGCCAGGTGGGGCTCTAGGCCCCATCCAAGATGGCGGTGGCTAAGAGTTCTTTCCTCTGCCCCCGCCCCGTCACGTGCTCAGCCGGCGGCACAAGGCGCAGTCAGCGCCGCCTGGGTCCCGGAAGTAGGGCAGAGTACACCGGAAGTGGAAAGCCTCCACTCCCGGAAGCGCAGGTGTTCCGGCCGGGCGGCCAGTGGCCGCAGGGAGATGGCTGCTGCTGCTGCCCGGCGCAGGAGGCAGCGATCGAGCTGGGCGGCGGCTCCGGCCCCCTCCCGGCGCGGGGGAGCGGGGTGATGGGATCGGGCCGCTCGCCCGCCGCATTTCCAGTTGAGGAAGGTAGGAGAAGCCGCTTCTCGCCGGAGCGGGGAAGGGACCGTCGCTGCCGGGCCGCCCGGGTGGGCGAGGCAGGCACACGCCGGCGGTGGGAGGAAGAAGGCTCGTGGGGCTGCCCCAGGCACGCACCCGGGGAGGGGTCTAGCGGGGAGTGAAGCGGGTGCGAAGGGGAACGGGGAGGCGAGGACTCACGTCGAGGAGGGGAACCAGTTTCGTGCGGGGTTCCTGGGACCGGGACCGTTCCCGGGTGTGTTCCTGTGGGTTGGAGAGGGAGCAGCCCGGCGCGGGGAGGGCACGTAGCCTGGGGGTGGCCTCTCTTTTAGGAGTATCGCTGTGGGGGAGGGAAGGATCTTATTTTCTTCATCGCTTCAATTTTATCGTGCTGGGTCTACACCACTCACAAATAGCTAGAAGGCAGATCCTTGCCCGGAGGAGCCTGCAGGCTAAATTTTAGTCTCTCGCATTTGCTCCGTACACTGATAGAGCTTTTAAAAGCATAGCTTTTGGCTACTATAATACATACAGCCCCTTATAACTTGTTCCTGACTCAGTTTTGTGGCAGCGGCATGATTTCGTGGTCTGAGTCAAAAACTCCTGAAAGCCCAGCTCTGCCACGTGCCTGTTATGTGACCTTGGTAAGCCACATCATCTGTCGGTGCCTCAGCAAGAGGGGAGTGCTGACAGTAAGGTTTCCTTAGCTAAATTTTCTAAAGACCTATATCATGGAAGTACTACTGTTTTTCTGGCATCTTTCACTGAAAATCCTAGAGCATCTTCCAACTCAACACAAACATGAGCAGCATCTAAAACTAGTTCTTCAGTGTAAAACTGTACATAGATAAACTTCCCTAAAGATGGCAACAAATGCCATAGGTGTACAACTTGCACACGAAGGGATTTGCAATAAAATGAAAATAGTCAATCACAAATTTCATTTAAATCTAGATTTCATCTTAAACTTGTGTGTGAATGTAATACTTTAGAAGTTTATAAGCCTGGGCTTGTTCCATGTAACAACATATTGAAAGTAATCACAAGCTTATACTTCCCTTACATTTACATAAATATAGTAAAGGGAAAATAATGGCTTAATTATTGGGGAAGTTGTGTGCCCAGGATTGCTAAAAGTGGGGCATCATGCAAGTTGCAGGTGACCATCTCCAGCTGCTGGATCTCTGTAGGAGCGTACCATATTTTACCTCTGCAAGAGTGCTTTCTGACCAAAGTATAGTTTGAAGTCTCATGGTCATTTGGAAGTGACTGGTGTTTAAGATCACATGTTTTTAAGTCAGCAGTAACTTGTACTTTCTGACTGAATGTTATTTGGTGCGAGAGTGGAGGAACTGGAATAAATGTGTGGGTTTTTTAATACTAATTCTGGAAAACTGTAGTAGCTATAAATAGAGAATTGGGCAATTCCAAGCCAGTAAACCAAGAAATTAATGTTAGGGTTTCCAGGCAATGATCTCTATTGACTTTTCTAAACTAATTCAGAACTAAGGCTGATGTTTTGTCTGTAACTCCTGTTGTGTGAAAGAGAGAGGTAAGAAACTAAAATGATACAAGTAAATTTTGTTAACTCTGAATTTCTTAGTTTTTGTATTGCAGTTTTAATTATATCTGTCCATTTATTTATTCAAGTTCCTTTGCTCCTTTTTAAAAAGGAAATTACCAATAGACAACTATAAAATGTCTAATTACTGGAAAAATTAGACTGCCACTAAGCTGTTGGGTAAACATATACTCTGGCATTTTTAATGCAGTACTTACCCAATAGTTAAACACTTCTTTTAAACTGTTTTGGATAACATGGTGGTTTAGAAGCATCTGACAGACACATCTAATATATCAGAATGAGGCACTCTGCTCAGTTGTTTGACTTGTATTTACATTGTTTAAAAGTACAAGTTACCAACTGGATAGGAATATCTGGGGGGAAAAAACTGTTTTTGTTTGGTTATATAAATCATCTAGCCACAATAAGTACAACTTGGCAACTTTCCTGCCCTGCCAATGTTCCTCTAGTTCAAGGCTGAGGTACAACTTGTGTATCTGTCACCAAAACAACTCCTTGGGGTAGCTGTTTGACATGGACACCGGGAGCTAGACAGCTGTTATAACTTTTGTTAGCTATTCATGTTAAAATCTGTTTTCGGTATCTTATGTATTATAGATTATTTCTAGTCTGAAAGTATACATATTAGAAGTGCTCCTACTAGGCACTGAGCCTCTGCAGTATTTCAAATTCTCAATAAAGAATCAACTATATTAAATACATTAAAACCACTACCAATTACTCATTCAGACCCACCTCACATCTTTTTAATACTGTGTTACCATGTAACCTCTTTCAGTCCCCTCTCCAAATGTCACAGAAAAAGGGAAAACCAGAAAGTTTGGAACAATTAACAAATTCAGGTTCGGGTAGACCAAGGGGTGGTGGATAGAGAGTATGTTCTGAAGTAAAGGACCCCTCAAAGATTGTGTTACAAACAGTTCCACCTTCTTTACAGTGAGGACATTCCAGCTCAAGCACCTCAGATGGCGATGACTGCAGTAATATTGTTTGAGGATAGTGTGAGTCTCTCAACCTTTTAGAACTGTAAAAGTCAAGGCCAGTGCTTAAAGCTCAAATGAAATTAGTATAGTGCTTCCTATGAAAAATGCAAATTAAGAGATGGCTGATGTATTCTGAACTTTCTTATAGGTGTAGCCCCAAGTAGGGCACACTACAGTAGTCTAATCTTGAGGTGATGAAGACATAAGTATAGCAGGGTCTCCATCCAAAATGGGACTGCATTTGCCTTACTAAATGCAGATGGAAAAACGTGTCCTCTGACATGGCTGCTACCTAGGCATTCAGGAGAACCCCAAAGTCTAATAAGATCTTAAATTACAAACCTAACTTTCAAATAATGGCTATTTAGTTAGTATTGCTTGTACAAGTCTAGCCAGTTTTCTTAGCCTAGTCACAATTAATGCTATTTCTGTCTTGACAAGATTGAGCCTCAGTCAGCTAGCCCTTTGTCCAAGCTCCAGTAGACACTGGGTCATCCATTTCACTTTACCAGCAGAATCACAGTAAAGGGGTTATGTAATTGACTATCACTAGCATGCTGTTGCAGTAATGCATGACACCTTATTAATGTAAAGAAGGAAAAAAACAGTCCCAAACAGGATGTACTTGTAGTAGTTTCTAGTAGTTATACTGTCATACCAAGTAATTCATGACCCAAACACTGGATTATATCTCTACTGAATGCTTGTCTTGTTTTTGTTAAAGGTGCAGAGCATGGAGAATGATGAACTTCCGCCAGAGGATGGGATGGATTGGTGTGGGGTTGTATCTATTAGCAAGTGCTGCAGCTTTTTACTATGTCTTTGAAATAAATGAGACTTACAACAAACTAGCACTGGAGCACATTCAGCACTCTGAGGAGCCACGAGAAGGAACCACATGGACACACTCCTTAAAAGCACGACTGCTGTCCCTGCCTTTTTGGCTCTGGACTATTATATTTTTAATACCATATTTACAGATGTTTTTGTTCCTTTATTCCTGTACAAGAGCTGACCCCAAAACTGTGGGCTATTGCATCATTCCGATCTGCTTGGCTGTTGTTTGCAATCGGCACCAAACATTTGTAAAGGCCTCTAATCAGATCAGTAGATTACAGTTGATTGACACTTAATTCAATCTCCGGTTTCAATAGCTGCTTCAGGAACAACACCTATGTCTGATCTAATCATAAGACTGAAGTTCTGAATGGAGGTTGGAAAGAGCCTTTCCTTTCAAACAGCTAAATACTGAACAGTAGCTGCTTTCTATTTAAAAAAAAAAATGCTTTTTTAAAGTATGGACCCATCATACTAGCCAGAATAGCAGAGCCCTGTGAGAGACTTGATGCCTTATGATGCAAAACTGCCACCCTCCCTATGAAGTATCCTGGGGAAGTATGCTTCTGCAATCATACATACTCCACTGTGCAAATAAAGATTACGTGCAAGCTTTCCCTTTGAATCAATGAAAATGGACACTTTTGTGGTAAATGTAAAAGATTAGAACATGCTGATAAAAGCTGCATTTAACACATTACTTTGCTTTCTCCTTTTTTAAATACTACTGCATGCTACAATTCTGAATTATCCTTTTAAAAAGATGAGAATGAAGTATGGCTGAACAGCTTTTTAGTGAGGATAGTCCTTTTCTCTCTCATAGTCAGTGAGTTACAGGCTGCACAATACCATATTTTATTAGGCAGAAGTTGAGGAGTGGTCTAGGCCCAGAGGTGTGATGCCTTTAACATCTTTTCACTGATGCCAAAGAGAGGCTGGTAACTGGCAGTGGACTGGAGATTCTACAAAACTCATTTTTCTTTATTTTCTTCTCCATACTTTTCGCTTAATGGTAACTGAGTTCACTACTGTTGTGCTTCATTGTGTGAGTGGAACTAGAACAGCTTTTGGTAAATCAACTGTGCATTGGGGAATTATTATAAAAATGGGAGATGATGTGTCCATCAACTCTTTGCTGGAAAACCAGTGAGATGCAAACAAATACAAGGCTACAAGGATATCCAATCTTTCTCCCAATTAACAAGTGAGCTAAATAATCCCACTAATACAATGAGTACCTGAGTTATTTTCCAAAAACATGTAGAAGTATTACTGGTGGTTGTCCTATATCTTAATTTCACTCTCCATTTTCAGTGACCTTTTTGGCATAGCAAGTAATTCTGACAATAGGGTTACCATGCTATTAATTTAGAATCATGGATTCTAAGGCTAGAAGGGATTACTGTGATCATCTAATCTGACCTCCTGTATACAACAGGCTACAGAACTTCCCAAAAATAATTCTTCTGACGATTTTAGAAAAACATCCAATCTTGATTTAAAAACAGTAATGGAGAATCCATCATGATCCTTGCTAAATTGTTCCAATGGTTAATTACTTACTATTAAAAATGGACACCTTATTTCCACTTTGAATTTGTCTAGCTTCATCTTCCACCCACTAGCTCATATTATAGCATTCTCTGCTAGATTGAAGAGCCCATTACATTTTTTTCCCCCATGCAGGTACTTAGAAACTATAATCAAGTCACTTCTTAATCTTCTTTTTAGTAAGATAAATAGATTGTGCTCAAGTCATTGGTTCCTAGGATAGAGTTCCCTATCATCTAAATAGGGCTTACATTCTTTTTCTAAGATATATACATTTAGCCATGTTAAAACACTTCTTATTGCTTGTGCCCAGTTTGTCAAGCAATCATCATCTGCTCTGAATCAGTAACCTGTCCTCTTAATTATTTACCACTCCCCCAATTTGTGTCATCTGCAAACTTTATCAGTGATGCTTTTATGTTTTCTTCCAGGTCAGTGATGATAAATACCATAGGGCAAGAACCGATGCCTACAGGACCCCACTGGAAATACACCCGCTTGATGATGATTCCCCATCAAATTGAACCATCCTATTTTAGTATGCCATATAGGCGCTTACTTTGTGGCCCCTTTGGTTTTAGTGGAAATCAAAGTTTCTATCGTTGCTACACATTGTCAAGGAGTGCCCATTAACCAAATTCAGCAGCAGGCTCTGAGAGTTCCACTTGGCCACTGAGAACATTGCTTGGCTCGGCAAATCCACAAAGGCTAAATAAAGTTTCTAGCCCTTGGGGAGATAACCTTGTGAATGTTAAACCAGTGCAGGGCTGAGTCTTCCAAGAGGCAGAAGCAATAAGCCCAAGACAAGATAATTTATACCTCTTTTTGTGTCAGTTATGTGAATTCCACTATAATTATAATAAATGTTAATTCTACTGTACTGCTGGAGCAGAAACATCCACCTGTTCTAGGACTGCCTGGATCTTGGGGAGATTACAGTCACTTCCCTCTAGCTGTGTTTTCAGTGTTACTGTATTTAAACACAGCAGCTAAAACATTCTTAATCTTTCGTTTGCATTTGGAGCAATTCTGTTTCTGTGGTTTTAAATACCAGCATGGGTGCTAAGAACTGAACATACAATCTACCCTTTACAAGAAAGCAAGTGTAATAAAGTAATAATTGTGAAGTGTAATAGCTAAAGAAGGAGTCCTTGAAAAAGTGTTAAGTAGGAATGGAAGAATCAACTTTCTAAAGGCAGAGCTTTAATACTGTGATACAATTTTCTTAATTTTTTAAAATCTGTTTAAACCTATATAAACTTATTTAGAACATGAATTTCAAAGTTGCCAGGTACAAAGAAGAAAGTAGATCTGTGCCTCTGTGGGTAGGATCTTTTGCAGAAGAATGGCCTATAAGGGAGGAAATTTCAAAAAGTAACAAAAAAGGTAGTCTGATTCAGTGTCAAGCAATCGAGTGGCCTTTCACAGATTAGTCAGCTCTTCTATGTAACAGGCTGAGCCTTTCTGGATGGGGACAGCATTCAGGAATGATTTCAGTAGTTGATGTTCATGGAAGAAGGCAGAATCACTTTCTATTTATACTAGTGGATCCAGAGAGCATCTGCTATGGAAATAGCTATGCAGAGAAATGCACAAACTATAACATAATTGGGGATATTTATGAAAGATTTGATATTAAGAGGGCTAGTGCAGAGACTGCTCACCAATATTTTACCACTTTACTGTCTAGACCTGCTTTGCTCAGAATTAGAGAAGAGGGTGGTAGAAATGCAGGGAGTTAGTCACCACCATTTCTAGCACCAAGGGAGCTGTGTCACTGGGAGATTTCCTTAAAATTCAGAGTTGGTAAGAAATCAAAATGAATATCAAACTTTCTAAACAGCTAGTTTAATTATAGAGTCATCTTTAAAAAGTAGTTTATCTTAAAGGCTTCTAGATACTCGCTAATGAGATTCTCTCATGTAGAATCACAGCTTCTTTAGAAATTGCATAACTTTAGACTTTTAAAATGATCTTAGCTTGTATTAGGGAATTTTATCAGTTGGCTTTAAATACTAAACATTTTCTAAGAGGTGGAAAAGAAATGAATTACTGTAAGTTTTTAAGTTCATAATTATGGTACAAAAACTTCTTTTTGGTCACACTGTTCATCAGAGAACAGCTCCTATGAAGACTACAATAAGATCATGGGAATAAGACTACAGTTCTTCAACTTGCACTAGAAAATAAGAACTGCTGTAGAAGATCACATGAGAGAGCTGTGAAGTCCAATATCTTACCTTTGGTAATGGGTACAGTAAAACCTCAGAGTTACTAACTGACCAGTCAACCACACGTCTCACTTGGACCCAGGAGTACACAATCAGGCAGCTGAAAAGATGGAGGGAAAAAAAGCAAATAAAGTACTGTGTTAAACAAACTACTAAAAAATAAAGGGAAAACATTTTTCTTCTGCAGAGTAAAGTTTCAAAGCTATATTAAGTCTCTTTTCAGTTGTAAACCTTTGAAAGAACAACCATAATGTTTTGTTCAGTTACAAACCTTTCAGAGTTACAAACAACCTCCATTCAAGATATGTTCAAAACAGTGAGGTTTTACTGTAATACCTGAAGTTTCAAAAAAAAATCTTAAAAAAAAAAAAAGCTGTTTGATAGGCCTTTCACTGCAAGGCTTTTTCTGTGGCTATTTCTGGCATACTTATTGTTGTAGCTGGTTCTTGGGTCTCTTGTCCAACGTTACATCCTTGTTGATCATCATCTCTGGTTTGACAACTTTGCAAATGCGGAGTTTGGTGTTCTCTTAGCCTTAAGAATGTGTATTAACTACCAACTCTAGTCTGACCTCACCACACATGCATGGTGTAAACTAATGCATGAAAAGATTAACTGTTTTAACTAACACCATGTGTTTCATTTTAAAAAGTTTGCATCAGCTATGGTTCTACTTAAGCCCTAGAATGCAAGCTCAACTCTTGCAAGTGACTGAGTTATTGTGTAAACTAGCAACTTGAGCATCTTATAATTGCTACTATTTTTTAAGAATGCATTTCTTGAACTTTTGTGTCTTTTGGGACTAAATGCATTGTGAATGAATAACTTTTTTAAACAATAAAACCTTAAAATTTTTCTGGTCTGGATTTTTGTTGGCTGGGGGAACAAATAGAGTGTAATTCTCACTGAGAAGTTTGAAATTCTCAACAGAGCAAATTAGTGCATGAATTCTTTCCCCCCATATGATCTATTCATGATCTATTCTCCTATTCTCCATTCTATGGTTCAATGTTACCTGTTTTGCTGATGCTCACTTTTTAATTTTGGTCTCAAGACTGCTCTATTCCTCAAATGTAGGCTACTCAGCACCTCCTCTTGAAAAATATTCCACTGTAATGTCATGAATCCACTCATTATGGACCAACACTTCCCTTCTCCATTATTCATTCCGGATAAGAAGCAAGGCCTACTAGGGCAGCAGGCCAGAGCAGAAGCAGTCCTAAGGGAGTAAACATTAGGGAGAGCAGACACAGTGGACAGATGCGGGGCAGGGAGTTAGGAGAAAGAGCGGTAAGACAGCTGTTCAGCCATGCAGTTTACATAGGGGTTGAGGAAAAGTGACCCAGCTGGGTAAAGAGAAACAGGAAGCCTGCACAAGTGACAGAAAAGACATCAGAATTGCCCTGTGGTTCCAGAAAAGAGGCCCAGAGCAGTGGTGATGTAGGAGAGGTAATTGGCAGAAAGGCAGGGCACTAGCAGCACAGACACTTTGCTGAGAGAACAAGCCCATAAAGACATCAGAAGCAGAGAGTCTGGGGCAAGGACAGTTTTGCTTGTGCTTATGCGGCAGTCTTCTGCTCCCTTGGCTGAGCTGAACTCAAGCAGTGGCTGTTACCTAGAGATAGAGGACTTAGTTTTAAAGCGTAAAATATATTTTAAAGCATTTTTTTTAAAAACCAACATCCCCAGAAACCAGGTAATCCAACAGAATGTCCTGTACACAGTGAGTTCATCTACACTGCACACTCCTTACAGCAGCACATAGAGTACATACACTATACCCACCCCTAGCACAGGTAAACGTAGCAGTTTAGACAGTAAAGAACTTCTTAGGCAAGTAAAGACACACTATCCTGTGGCCATGTACCATCCACAGCTCTACACTCAAGCAGTGCCAGCCCTATCTACACAGCTATTTTTAGCAGTGTAGTATCTTGCTGCTGGAGCCTTTCCCTGCCTCACGTTCACCACATAGGCTATCTTCACAGACCTGAGTTCTTATATTACCCAGACAGCCTCATTCATAACTTTGTTTTTATGCACCAGAGGGATGGGAAGTTTGTAGCCAGCTTTATCAGTTCATTTTCATCATTGGTTGCTGTGCTGTTTTCCAGACAGCACAATTAACCAGCCTCTCTCTCTCACTGCCTCCACACACTGATTGGCAGCTAGACTCTTACTCTGGTGGCCAATTCCCTATGGGCTGGTACATGAGATACTACAGGAAACATACCCTAATCCAGTCACCCATCATTAGTGGGGAAAGCCAGGATGCAGCTGCAGGCACATAGTAGCTGGGCATGGAGGAAAAAAACCTCCAGGTACCTGGCCACAGTAAACTGGCCAATTCCACAGCCTCTTGGAAAAATGCCAAATTTTATGTTCATAGAACTGTGGCATTTATTGCAAACTAGGTGAGATTAACAGGGCAGTTCACACCTTTTAGGGCTATTAGTTCAGGCACCTTACAACTCAGGTAAGTATCCATTTGTACTCTGTTCACCTTTTCAAAGTAATCCTTGCAATCATGAGGGCTAGAAACAATTTTTTGTAAATGAAAGCTGAGATACTGGTACCCGATTCTACAGCTACAGAACATACAGGGCACTGGTCATACATTACATTGCAGAATAAGAGCGAAGCGAAGTCAACTAACTTGCCAGACATCACATTCAGCCCTCATCAGACCAGCATCATCCACCTTCCATTAGAACACCCAAAGCAAGATGTAAGCTATTACAGTCGACATAGCTCCCGCTGTTTGAATAGTCAGTCTTGAATGCCTTGCTCTTCTAAAACTTTATTTAGAATCAGTTTAAATATACATATATTTTGATGTCTTGCCTAGTGCTAATCATCTGCAGCATAACATGAGACCGGAGTTCATTGTTCCATTTGTTATCTCTTGTTCCAGGCCTTCACTGAATAAAGTCACTACCTTGCAACCATATCCTCCTTGTCAGATACCATGCAGTAGACACTTGGATTTACATGGAGGATATCCAATGTAACTCTTGTGTAGAATGTGAACATCTTTATGTTCTGTCACTCTAGCAGCACTTAACAACCCCTCCCTTTTTAAATCAGAAACAGACTGCCAAACAAATTTATATGCAAAAAGATAATGAATTGTTTTTCAATTGTGTGGTAGTAAAATTTCAGGTTTACAGAGTAAATACATTCTGTTCTTTTGTGCATGCAATGCAAGTGTCTTTCATTACTTGCTCAGTGCAATTCAAACTGAGCAACAGGCTACAGCAGATGGCTAACACCACCATATGAAGGCAGAGTTGCAGATGCAATGGTAAACTTAACTCCTGTAAGATTAATGTTACAACCTGACTATTGCAGTTGTGTATTTTATGTATATTATATGGTGATACAATCAACCAGGTCAGGATCCCATTGTTAGGCCCAGCACAAACATGTACAAGAGACAGTCCCTGTTCCAAAAGGATTTATAATCTAAAGGCCTAGGTCCTGCAAGTTGCTCTGTGCCTGCAAAGCCCCCCTTTTTAATTGAGTAAGGAACTTCATGGGCAGAGCTCACTGCACAAGATTTAGCAGGTGAGTGAAAAACAAACCAGTGGAGGAGAGTGGGAGATCAAGATGGGGTAACAATGACAGGTTGTTTTACCACACACTGACTGCCTGCACTCTTCATATATGTAATAAGCCAATCAAGAGCAGTAGTCACAGTAATCACTAGCTATTATTGCATGGCAGTATGTATAGCTACTAACAGATTAAAGCTTTTCCAACATAACCAGAACAATACACCAGCAACAACCTAAAAAGCAAAAATAATAAACGAAGAAAACCCTACTCATACAGTGTCTCTATAACCCAAAAAGGGAAGTGAGACAGATACATGAAGTCCACCAGGGATTTTGGTACTCCCAAATTGTTTTTTCTGGAAGGCACTTAAAACACTGTAATGATGGGTGGCAAGGCAAATCCCTTAGACAGATAATGAATCCACAAACTTTCAGTGCTGACTATAGTGAAGTAATGAATGGTTCACAATGAGGGACCTATAAAAGCAGTTTATTTCTTTGTTTTATTCATATCTGATGTAATGGCTAAACCACACAAAACTAATTAACAGATCAGACACACTGTCAACCAAGTGAACCGCAAAACTGACAATGCTTACTGTACTTAATGCCCATATCCAAATAAAGACAAATTTTTACACAATACTTAGCACTTCCAGGGTATTTTATAATCCAATTCATCCTTACAACATTGTTGTGAGGTAGTTTATGGTTTTTTTAGATAGATAAGACACTGTTGGTGTTACATAACTGACACAATTCTCCTGACAATTTCTTGCATTTATTGGTTTAACACTGTATTTTAGTATTCATTTCAAATTATGGCACATTTTGTAGTTATTTATTATTTGAATTATGGTGGTACCCAAAGCTACATGATTCTGATTCCAAATATCTATGCGTACGTCTTTGTAAAGTTAAGTGTTAAACACAAATGTACCTGAGACCCAACATCATAAACGGATCTTTTAGGCTTCTTGTAAAGCTGATCAACTTTTTTTTTTTTTTTAAAATAACTACTTCCTTGCTAATGTATTTAAGCAGATCTGGAATACTCCAGTTATTTTATACAGTCCCCTATCAATAGCACTCTTATATAAAATTGTTAGTTTGTTTCTTGTAGTTTAATATATTTCAGCAGAGTAACTTGCTTTTTCTTTTTTTTAACTGTAACTTACTCTATTTTAAGAGTGGCAGGAAAAATACAGGGAGCTCAGAAGCAGTACAAATTAATATTGACTTTTAAAAGATTCAAAACCACATACTTCAGTGGCTAGATTAGTAAAGAGACACCTGCAAACAAAGGTTCCTCTTGACACTGGCAATCCATAATTTCTTCCTCCCAAATACTTAAGAATTAATTTCTTTCCATGTAAGAGAATCTACAACATTACACTTCACTCTCTTTTTGTCAGGTATTTTATTAGTAACATTAAATACCAGAAAAAGAAAAAGACATTTTCCTTCTAAAACTTAACCAAAAGGAACACAAATGTAGTTGTCTAGTTTCCAAAAATAGTTTCTTCCAGAGGTACAACAGTGCAATATAAACACTAACATTTGCAACAGCAGAAAAGTCTTTTTTTTTTTAAATTAAATAGCTTTTAAGGCAATAGTTAGGAGTGCTGACTTTTTGTCCGTTTTAAAGGTGGTCCATCCACACACGTTTTGACATCAGTGTTGTTTTCTTCATCTTCCTCCTCCGCCTCTTCCTCCCCAACATCACCTTTTAAAATTATAATACAAATTAATACTAGAAATACAAAAAATACTCACAAATCCATTTCCTGAGGAAAAACTGTGGATGGGTTAGAGGACAGAGAAACTCTTTTTTTCCAGGTGCCTTCCTGGAGCAAAAGTTGTGGCTGAAACATGCTCCCCGTGCCCCCTGAAACCATGTCATTCAAAGTTGTTTATTTATGGATTCTTCACATTCTTTATCTGTAAGTCCATACCATTTTGTTGTGTGATTCTGCACTGACACTATGTGTAGGATACAGACAAAACCCCACAAGACCTGCTTTTCTTATTGGAAAAGGTCACCACAAGTCTGAATGTTATGTTTCTATCCCCTAAGGTGGAGGGATTGTGATAGCTCTGACCCTCTAGAAATTACTCCTGTACAAAACATTCAACAGACTTACTGGGTTTTCTATTGGAACTGAATGATCAATGTGAGTGATTCTCCACCCTTTCTAGATCAGCACCCTCATCACCACACCAGGCGCCTTCCTATGTAGCACTGGGAGGGAAGGCTGATGGACTGGCAACCCCTGAACATGTGGGCTGAGTCAAAAG